TATATATATATATATATATGCAATTTAATAGTAAAGTTTCATTTAATGCTTAATGTATTAGAGGACACCAACCCCTTTACTTTTTTTTTCTTAGCTTTCCCTCTCAATTTCTCTTACATTAAAAATGATGAATATTATAAAAACATTTATTGGAATGTAACGGTAGTATAATTATTTAGTCTCATTTAAACAGTTAGAGAAAAAAACATTTATGCATAAAAGACTTTATCTAAACAAACATCATTACCTATTCAGTTACCTACTACCCACAGAGAACTTATGCATAACTTTGGCATACACATTACTTATACAAGTTAGCCACTTTATCCATTCATCCATTCAGAACTTATAGGAAAAATCAGTTTGACATTCTAATTCCTTTTGTTTTACAAGGTCTCGTCATCAGCACAATACATAATACAACATTTCACGGCAGCCACCGGTTGCCGAAAACTTGAAGGAACAGTAAGAAACATGTATGCCACCGGAAAAGTTACCATGGCCATGGTGGAGGAGCTCAGCCCAAATGGATCCACCACCAATACCATTAGTAACATCGGAGTGCCACAAAAGGGTTGCTTTGTTATGTGGCAAATGGTGCCAAATAAGTGGCTAATTGAGCTTGCTGTTGGCGGAAATAAGGTGGTCGCCGGAAGTGATGGTAATGTTGCTTGGCGGCATACACCGTGGTTAGGCTCTCATGCCGCCAAAGGTGGTGTTCGTCCTCTCCGCCGTGCTCTTCAGGCAAGAACATAATTTATTAACATTTTTACAGAATTCTTTATGAGATAAAAATGATAAATAATCATGATGAAAATTTATTTAACAAGCACTAAAGTTCATGTCTTAAAAGGCAAAAAAGAATATCCGATGACGACATAAAACGCGTTAAATAAACATAACGTCAAAATTTATTATTAGAAAACATCGAAAAATATTTGTTGTTTGAGTATTGTTGGAATTTTTTTTTCTTTTACTAATAATGGGAAATGTCACTATGGGACCCTCATCTTTTATTAACATAATTCCTAGGGATTTGCAAAAATCAATTGGAATAGATAAATTTGAAAAAGCAAATCATTTTATATTTTGTTCAATTCTCCGCTCTAAATTTTATAAATTTTATAAAATTCAGTTTTTTTATTCGGTTCCATTCAAAATTGACCTGGAACCGAATCAGATTTGGGACTGAATCAGTCCTAAATTAGAACTGTATCAGTTTAGACTAGTCAGGTTTTTCAGTTATGGTGTAACTAGATATTTTAATATGCAATTCGGAAAGTGGGAAACAGCTTTAGCAAGTGGCCCACTTTGGTGGGTATGATATGTCATTTTCCCATTTTGTAAGGTACATCAATATTCTTCAACAACCTTTTCTTTTCCAAACGTTTCTCATTGTCGTCGGATCAACTTAATATATCAATATCTTAGGATGGTCCATACTTACAAAATTAACAGATTTGGTCCCTAAATATTTTCCAAATCTCGTGAATTAACTTTCAATGTACTAGGATGGTCCACATACTTACAGATTAACAGATTCAGTCCTTACACTTTACCAACCTCTTAAAGTTTCAATGTATTAGGATGGTCCACATACTTACAGAATCAACAGATTCAGTCCCTAAAATTTACCAACCTCTTAAATTAACGTTCAACGATTAAGATGGTCCACAAACTTATCGAATTAACAACTTCAGTCCCTATAGTTTACCAATCTCTTAAATTAAGTTTCAATGTGTTAAGATGGTCAACATACTTACAAAATTAACTGATTTAGTCCCTTGAGTTTGACAATCTTTTAAATTAAGCTATAAACTAGAACTTAAGTAGTTATCTTTTCTAATCGACTATGAATAGTGCAACTAACATATGGACAAAAACATAACTACAAATTTCATGTTCGCTCCTTGTACATTTGCTTCATACGACTTTAGTCCCTGGACTTTTGGATTTAGTCACTAAGATCCAAAACTTATAGCAAAGACGAAACTAATCATGTTTTTTGGTTAACTCATAGGGCTTAGATCCTATGGCCGTGGCAGGTGTATTCTCCCTAGCACAATACATGGGAGAAAAACAAATCGGTGATGTGGATTGCTTCGTTTTAAAAATATCAGCAGATGACGCTGACCTGGCAGACCGAAGTGACAATACAGCAGAAATGATCAAACATGTAATGTTTGGTTATTTTAGCCAAAAGAACGGGTTACTAGTGCACTTAGAAGACTCTTACTTAACTAGGGTTCAAACCCCTGGTTCATTCCCTATGTATTGGGAAACCTACATGGCAACAAAAATTGAAGACTATAGAATCATTGAAGGTGTAATGATCGCACATTCGGGTCAATCAGATGTTATAATCACAAGATTTGGGGATAATTTGAGGGCGGGACCCATTATCACTAGGATGGAGGAGAAGTGGACCATTGATGACTTGGCATTCAATGTCCCTGGATTGTCAATGGATTGTTTTATCCCTCCAGAAGAATTACATAAAGATGATACAGAAGAAAATCTTGATTGGAGATCAAATTTGAATTTAAACGGATCATCTTCTTCTTCTTGATGAAACTCGAGCTTACAATATCAATAAGACAACAACTTTGTTTCCTATCACTGACCTCGATCCTACTTTTCCTATAGATTTGTAAACTGTGAATGTGTATGTATTATGTACCATGTATATTACTTAAGTTTCTTGATTAGTTTTTAGATCTTTACACTATGTTGTTTCTTGTATTTTGGGAATAACTCAAGAAGGAAATGTCGAAATGATCAAATGAAACTTGACTCTGTTTACATTTTTAAAGCAATTAATTCTTGTTTATCAATGTTGGTGAAAATACAACATGCTAATATTCTAAAAAAAGATGATATGTAAATAATTAAGAACATAAAAATGGAAGGCAATTGTTTAACTTAAAGCTCAAAAGACTGGTTTTTTGTAGTGTAGACTCCAGTCTGAGTCAACAGATATAGTCAATCCACCATCATCAGTGCATACAGACTCCTCACAAGGATTGATTCGAGTAGGAAATAAACTTTCTTTCTCCTTTCCATGATGCTCAAAAAACTTAGGAGACTTCAACAATCCATTCTCATCAATTTCTTCATCTGACAACAATCTACAGCAATCTAAATCATCTTTATCAAAAGTGACTTCATCTCTCCAAGATATGCGCATTTGTGATTCTGACAAAGTTGAGTTGGAAATCCATGACTCATGACTAATGTTTGCAGGATTGGAAAGTGGGGATAGATCTGAAAAATCAAAACTTAACCTAGGTGGGTCCCATGGTGATAAGTTACCTTTAGGAGTTAACCTTTCATGTTCAAGAACATCTTTCTCTTTCACCTGATCAAGTTCAGATTCAAACTTATATTTCAATTGAACACCTTCAAAGCTTGAATCTGAGTTTGGAGTTTGCATAACATTCCCACTACTCAAAAATTCAGCTGAAAATGGAGAACATTCTCCATTGAAATCCAATGATAATATTCTCTCTTCTTGTGGTGTATCATGAAGAGAAACTGAGGACAACCCTTTTGAGTAATCGCCTTTTCCATCATCATCATCATCATCATCATCATCATCATCATTGTCATTGTTGTCTACATAAATTGGTGATAAATGCCAACTAATTGAAGCTTCAGTAGGAAAAGGTATCATCAAAGAAGGACTAGTTTTTTCAAAAATGTCATGTTCAGGGGGTTTACTTCTTCCAGCTGAAAGAATCCCTCTAGCTTTGCATTTTCTTCTGTCAGTGACACCAGAAATCACATGTCCAGCAGCATAACATGTTGAAGGTGCAGCTCCTGAAACATGAACAGATCGATACAAGCTGGATTGGATTTCAGGGGATACAGATGGCTCAACTGGAGGGGTTTTTGTGGTAGCACTACTTGAGCTTTCTTGAGTAGATTTAGCAGAATCATGATGTTTCATAGCAGAAGCATATTGAATCTTGGTGAGAGGAGTATGATCTTCAACATCAGTTTTGTTATTGATTGTAAAACCAGGAAAGGGGAAGAGATCAGTTTGGTTGTTATTAGATGTTTCTGACCTAGATACTGGCTCTGCCATTCTGCAAGAAAATAAAATTTCAGTTGGGATCTCAGTAGCCAATCATTGTCATTTTCACTCAAGAACTAAACTAAGTGCTATGAATTGCGTAAAGATTGATTTGTTTAGCCTCTATTGTTCCTAGATTAGGTATAACTAAAGACAGATACCAGTAACTTGTAAAAGGGATTTTGAATATACTATGTCTACAGCAGCAAACTTCAACAATTTCCATCATAAATTGGTAAGATGAGCAAGGTTTTCATACATGAAAAAACAGTACGATGTGCAGGTTTATATAAACATGATATTTGAATAGCTTCAATATGAATTCAGAACATTGTGCCCTAACAAGGACTACTTGGTTTTCACTCAAAATACCAATGAGATAAATTCAACTCAAGTTCATGAGTTGAAGTGATCTTGTGGAAATGGGATGAACTGGAAAAGAAATGAAACATTTTGAATTAGATGGCGAAATGCAGGTACATGTTTATGTGTCGATTGATCGGGGAAAAAAAAAAACTGCAATCTGCATTACCTGAAGGATGTTCCGATATGAATTAGGGTTTATGAAATGATGAAAAACTGGATTTAACTGTAGATTTGGAGTCAGATTTGGGGTTAGGGCGAAAACGAGTGAGGACGATATAGTGGTCAAGTAAGCAACTATTTTAAATCGTAAACTTCCGCCCCTCAACACTTGAATGTATATGTAACTACTTCTCTTTTTCAAAAGTACATCCATGTTGTTTGGATACAAACAAAATTACAAAAATGGTCCTTATGGTTTGTTGAGAATTGTTATGTTGATTCAAAACATTTTGAATTAGCATCATTGGTCCAAAACAAGTTTTTTGTTGCCGTTTTGTCCGATTTCTTTTTGAATATCTAAATAACGGACTTGCCATTGGTATTTTCTTTTTCCATTTTATTATTTTTTTAACATTTTCCTAATTTAAAAAGAAAAAAGACAAAACGAAACCACCCTACCTATTTAACCCTTATCTTTAACACATATATAATCTTCATCTTTATCTTTGTCATCTTCACCATCGAACGATCGCCGCAGCAGTCATCGGAGATCTAGAACGATCTGGCGGCGACGATTTGCAAACATCATCGGAGATCTGCAAACACCTTCGGGGGAATCACTTTCACTGCCCTACCCCTACTGACTCATCACCACCATTGGAGTTTCGCAAACATAACGAGTTTGCAAAGGTGGCAGCGACATGGCGACTCTAACAACGACGTATAGATCTGGGTTACAACGTTGGCTTCATCTCGCTCCTTCTCCGATGACGACGTTGAACTATGGGCTACAAAATCCATCGAAGAACAACAAATTTGTATACCTAAAAACGTGAAGTCGTGAGCTAAGCTTTCTTATATGCGAAGGTGGTGGCGAAACAAGCGGCAACGGCGAAGTCGAAGTTGGATAGTGCTAGGGTTTTGTCGTGTTCGTCAATTTACAACGTTGGATAATACTAGGGTTTTTGAGTTACAACGTCGGTTGTCATTGTCGATATGTGTTATTCGTCAGATTCAGATTCCCATCGCCAAGCCTCCTTCGTCACCATCTTCATGTTTACAAAGTCTTCACCAGAATCAAATCCTAGCATCGCCCTTCTTCGTTTTCCAGATCCGACGAGAAGTTGTTTGTCATGAAAATAGATGAAGACGATATGGTGGTGCTCCGCCAAAAAATGAAAGCTCCTCTAAGATGGCGATGGCCTGAAAAAAAATGAAAGCTCTGCCAAGATGGTGGTGGCCCGTCAAGTAGTGATAGTCCAATAGGTGGCGATGAGAGGAGTCAATGTGGTTAATTTGTTTATGAAAACCCTAAATTCTCAAATCCAACACTAGTGGTGGATTCAAATGTATATAATTCTTAATGTAAGGTGATTAATTCATATTGATATTTGATTCCAAGATAGAGAATAACAAACCCAATCCTCCAAACACTCCAAATTCCATTCATATGAGGTTTTCCACCATGGATGAAGTTCTAGACCTCCATATCCCACTAAACTCCACATTAATAAATTAAGGTTTGATTCTATAAAGTTTAGGAGTTCTCATGCTGGAACAAACAAAATCCAACATCTAACCGTCATGGGTTCATCATTTTTGGATTTTGAAGCTCACCCCAAATCCTATATCCTCACATTGCATGAGTTTGAGCATTTACCTTGGGATTAATGCATAAATGTCCACTAAGTATCATAAGTTACAAAACCACTTTAGTTGATTGATTAATAGTTGAAAGTTCAATAATTTTAGTATTGAATTCATTTTTTAATGCAATCAAGTATTTGTTTTCTCTAATTAATGTGGTTTAAGTTTTAAGATATAAGCTCAAAAACTTTGAAGCGGTAAGGACGACACACACATTCTAATCTACTCATAAATTATATCATTTTTTCAGCTGGGACTTAACCCTCAACTACTTGGGCTTGAGAACACCCTGTCAACACCCAATCACGTTGGGCTATAAGAAATTGAAAATTTATGCAATTTCAAAATGAATATTGTATAAGAAAAAATTGTATCTCGACCAAAACTCAATATCTCACTGCCATAAGTTCTCCCTCGAATTTGTATTTAAACATATGCATACCCTCACTCATTTGAAATAGATTATTTTTTACATCATACAAAACTACTACATGGGAATCCCTATGTTTATATCTCTGTTTTGAAACCTTGTTTCTAAAATGAGTAATTTTGTGGTAATTTTTAAGTGTTCTTCGTCGGCTTAGTGTACTTTTTTTAGAGTAAATTACATGAATGGTCTATATGGTTTGGGGTAATTTACACGTTTGGTCCCTAACTTATTTTTTTCACTCAGAAGGTCCCTACTGTTTGTTTTTGTTACGCGTTTGGTCCCTGTCTGACCTAAAAGGACTATTATGCCCTTATTAATTTCTTTTTTAATTAATTTTATTATTTATATTATTTTAATTTATTATTATAAATAAGAAAAAAAGGGCATGTAGGTCCTACTCCTTTACTGTCTCTCTCAATAGCCTTGGTCGATTGATCCTTCATCATCATCGCCGACCTCCCTCGTCCTCAACCCTCCGCCCTCTTCTCTATAGACATGAAACTGCTCCCTCCTCTATCTTCAACGTCGAGTATCTCCTTCATCCACTCCTCACTGCCCACCTCTTCATTACTGATAGAAATCCGACTTCAAAATTACCCCTTTATGACCTAGATATCGTTACAACACCATTACTCATGACGCCAACCATCCGATTTCCACTTGACCCATTATCTCCGATGTCTCTCTCTATCGGCCAGACATGACACGTGACACACCTCTGTTTCCATGTTCTATCTGACTGTCTCACATGTCAATAATAATGTATATCGTCGTTGGTCTCCATCATAAGCAATCTCCAACTGCCTCCATCGCCAAGTGACCGTTGTTGATCTCCAATGTCAATCTGACCGCCTGTGGTCTCAGTTACTTTGTATAAATTTCTTTGTCTGATTTCAAGTATTGTTGCATAAATCTGTGCTCATGAGTGTTTAATTTCAAGTTTTTGAGTCTGATGTCAAGTGTATCTACATAAATTGAATTTCAAGTTTCAATTTGTTCTCCATGTATGATTTGTGTTTCAATTTTGATCTCAGATTTCATAACTGATTTATGCTTCAATATTTGAATAAGATATCTCAGTCCAGTTCTTAATGATAAATATTATATATTATGTCAAGGCTTATTGATAAATTTGATTTTAGATCCAGGCATGTAGTGGTTTTAACTCTGATGATGGAGTATATGGTGGTGGTGAAGAATACGTTAGATAGCTTTCTAGGAAGGAGGGGCAGTCACATACATGAAATGAAAATGGAAGGGGGAATAGGGAAAAATGGCGGGGTAGGTAAGGTAAGCAGTCACATACATGAACGTAAATGGAAGGGGGAATAGAGAAAAATTGTGGGATAGATAAGGTAAGGTGAGGTGGGAGTGGGGTTGGGGGTGTGTTTATTTAAATAAATTAAAAAATCAAAGGCAAAATAGTCTTTTTAGGTAAGACAGGGACCAAGCGCGTAACAAAAACAAACAGAAGGGACCTTCTGAGTTAAAAACAATAAATTTAGGATCAAACACATAAATTACCCCAAACCATAGGGACCATTCGTGTAAGTTACTCTTTTTTTTTAAATAAGCAAAACAATTTCATCTTAGTGATATAAAATTTTAACTTTTACCATTAGTAAACATTACAAACATTTATAACATCTATCTGTTTCTATTTTATCATAAAATGTATTAAATATCACCACCTTTAATTCAACCGGTATTTATTATCACTAAGTTGGTTTTCTTACAATTTGGAACAACAAAAAAATTGATTTATGATCGGTACCTATGAAAATTATACAATATGAACCTCATAGGACTTTTCACACACTGTTGATGTGCAAAGAGGCAAGAGTTATGATGAAAAGAGAAAAGATCAAAGATGTCTTGGAGCCATTTCAATATCTTCATGTTCCTGAATCCTGAGGACTCCAAAAAGTAGAGGAGCAAGAATCCAAAACTGAATATATCTAATTTCAAGTAAAAAGGGTCTGCATACTAAGCATCAAAAGAAAACATTATCTTGGAATGTTGCAACCATAAAATATCACCTCTATTTCATATAATCTTTATCTAATCTGTTGTTAGCCTTACAACTGAAATCTTCAAGACTTCATCTATAATCTGAGAAATTCTGTTCATCTACCTCCTACAAATTGCTACTTAACAAATCGATTGAAATCACCATAATCCAACATAGATCGAAATAAATTAAGGTGAAACTGGTATTTTAATGTGATTTTGTAATTTTTAATAAACAAAACCTTATAATGCACAGAATTCATGATATAATATTAAGATATTTTTATTGTTAAAAGTTGTTCTAATCATTTTGATGATTGTGAAAGTTTTAACTGGATTTTAACATTTACTTTTGAACTAATAAATATATATAAGTCATAGCGGTGAGCATTACTTGATTTAAACCGTAAACTCGTTTGAACCAAAAGTTATTCAGTTTCCACGTTCGAGTTAATCGGTTTGCGGTTCGGGTTTTGAATTAAATGGTTGGTGTTTTAATCAGTTTGCAGTTTGGTAAATGTTAATCAGGCCCACTCGAAAAATGAATAAGCATTTAATATAATATTAAACATTAATATATATATATATATATATATATATATATATATATATATATATATATATATATATTGNNATTATTTCCTCCGAAATGACTAAATGGTCACTTTGATTACTTGTAAATCGCATCAAAAATACAAAAACCAACCACTAGTGTTGGTGTAAATAATTAAATACATGTTATTAACTTATTAGTTGGGTCATCCGAAGTACCCACCAGGCACCGGTAACCATTAATATGGTTGGTGTCACCTCATCACCGCACCCAACTATTAAACCCATGGTATTGTTTGGTTTTTATTCAAAAACTAGTTTAAAAAACAAGAGATTTAACAACGGAAGACTTTGAATTTTGAATAACATAAAAAAAGTTTATAACCAACCAAGGATTATCTTGCAAAGTTTGGAAAGAAAACTGTAAGTCCCCAAATCGCTTTGACGTATCAATCGATCCACTTGATGGTACGGAATCCCAATCAAGTGGATGATTCAAGATAGAATGGAGAAGAAGAAGAAGAAGAACTAGATGAATCTTCAATGTATCAATGATATTGAGTGA